TGAGCCCCTGGGCTGCATGCCTGCCAGGCTCCTAATACTCTTTAAATACAGAGCTGCAGCTGAGTAGGTCCCAGACCCGTCGCAAGCCAGGATTGAGCTGGGCTGAGCTTGCTAAAAAATTTACTGTTGGGGGGAGGGGGAAATGCGTGTAGTCTATAGCATTAACCAATAAGCTTTTGCATATCAGTTAATCGACTACACTATTACATCCCTCATGGGAATCGCACCCTCCTTCCCCTGCACGTGACAAACCATATTTAAAACCCGGTGAGGGCATCACTAGGGAAATACTTAAACTAAGCTAGCATTGTACTAAGGGTACTAAATTATATACAACTAGAAAAGCTACTAAAATAGAGGGATTCTGATATGAAAACCACACAGAGCTTTTACTCTAGCCATGGGTGGTAAGAGGGAACTGACGAGGGTCTAGGCATCACCATCTCACATAGCCATATAGTATGGCCACAAAGTACAAGCACTGCCCCCCTATGAACACTGACAGGCAAAATCCTCCAGCTCCTTTGTGCTGGGCTTCGTTAGAGAAAAGAAACTGCCCCCCCCAGTAAAAAAGTTTGGCCAGGCCGCTCTTGCTATAGTGGGCTGCAGTACTGCTTGGGAGAAACCGTCCGTACCCTTTCTGCATACCATTGCCTTTAGAAAAAGGGAATGTGTGAAAAGGGGAAAATAGCCTCAAACTCTCCCACCCATCACCTTGGCGAGGCTTACCTGGTCGCATGAAACCTGCACAGTTTCGGCCCAATCCCTGGGACACAGACCCCCCACTTGGTGACCATTGGGCCATATATGGTAATATGCAAGCGTGGGAAAGCAATGTGCAGATTTGGGGATAAATACCCATCGCACAGTTTGCTCTAGGAGGTCTTCGCAACACACGTACCACCGTGCGTGTGCCTTCTCGTATACTTCAAAGCGCTGTCGGCTTGATCAACCGACCAGCCACCTCCCCCGACTCTCAGGCATAACCAAGGCCTTCGCAACTAAACCGATATCTGTGAAATGTTCCGTGTGCTGTGTAAGTTGGTATGTACGATTTGATTTTTTTCTTGTTGTATAAGCTTAGTGTTGTAGTTGTTTTGGGTAGTACAGAGAGTTTGTAGTTATCACTGTTTTTTAATTAGTGTAGCTGGATGTTTTTAGACTAGAGACTATTCCCCTTGCCATTCCCATCCTTATCTCTCTGACACATTTAACTAGAAATCGTAGAATAAATATAATAAATACTGTAAATTCATTATTGACACGGTCTATTAAAAATCTTAGAATAAATACTATAAATTCACCACTGTCATAAATAAATATTTTTTATTTGATAAAACTGTTCACCTGGTTCTGTCCTTCCCCACTTGGGTATGCATCATCGGACCTGTGATTCTCGCGACAGGCTTGAATATCAAAGGGGAATACATGGTTGCATCTACTCAAAAAAGCAGCGTATTTCCAAAATCATTTGCTATATGGCTTGTGCTGTCCCTAAAGCAACACACAAATTGACTTTTGAATGACTGCCCTACCCCATTCCAGACCCACTACCTGACTAATTTTACATCCAACTAGTCTCTCTGAATTTCCATCCCAATAGTTCTTTCTTGATTCTCACTGCTCCCTCAGCCATATTTATTCTCTAGAAAATGCTCCTTCTTCTGCACTTGAAAAATATAAGTGTTATTATTCGAACCACAAACAGGTGCCTCTTTACACCAAAACTAAGTGAAAGTTACAGTAGAAAATATTTTTTCTACTGCATTTAAATATTTTTTAGTAAATTCATTAGTCCATCTCAACAGGGGTTAATAGGAATGTCCTCATAACATTTAAAAAAAACCTCACTCTTAACATTTCCTTATCAAGTTTTCCGCATAATATTAATTGCTGATAGAATGTTTAATTTTACCAAACTAAATACTGTACAGTAACTAGTGTGCTAATATTTTACATATTACCATCTAAAGTTATATAAAATATTTTACCTGCATTTGTCACAACAGATCATGTATCCATCATCATGGGTAAAACCGCAAATGCACCTGGTAATATCAGTTCCATAACTTCCATCCTCTGATGTGCTGATGGTAGTAGCACTAGAAGTTTCATCAAAATTCGGAGTGGTAAATATTCCTACTTCGTTCTTGCTGATAATAACGGATGGAGGAGGAGATGCTGGAGGTGTTGGAGGAGGACGAGCACCATAGTTATGGTCCTAGATGATTTTTTGAAAAATCCACAGTTGTCGTGACATGGATCTGCACAGTAACCCTTATCCATTTTTCAAACTCCTCAGATTTCCACACCTGCTTTTATTTCAAAGTCAGGTTTCTAAATTCACAGTCAGAATGAAAACATTCAAAACGCAGAAGCCCAAAATGATGCTCCTAAATTCACATTTAAACACCTCCATAATACCCTGCACGCTTTAAAAATGATGTGTTTCCAGGAGCTTACATTAAACTTTTAAACTAAGACCATAAACCAGCATGAAAAATAACCATGTCCATTTATGTACCAATATCAGTATCAAATCATTCTATAACAATGGTCACCAACCAATAGAGTGTGATCTACTGGCAGATCTTTGAGCCTTTGATACGTGATCCTGATGGGTTTGGCTAGCACTTCAGCTGTCCCTCCCCCTACTATTGTGTCTCTCCAATCTTCTTCACTGGAGCTGCCCTTGGGAGCCTCCTGCTTGCTATGCAGAGTTGGGGAGGCAGAGGAGGAGGGCACTGATGTCAGGATGTCTCATTATCCCCACCCCTGTAGACCATCTTCACAGAGTGGGGAACATGACAGGTCTTGAAATGGAGGGAGCTTGCTAGCAGCTGCTCTTATGTCTAAACATGCTGGCTGTGTCTACACTGGCATGAATTTCCGGAACTGCTTAAAACGGAATACTATTCCGTTTTCAGTTTTTCCGGAAAAGGAGCATCTACATTGGCAGGCTGCTTTTCCGGAAAAGCCCTTTTTCCAGAAAAGCATCTGTGGCCAATGTAGACGCGCTTTTCCGGAAAAGAGCCCCGATCGCCATTTTCGCGATCGGGGCTTTTTTCCGGAAAAGACTACTGGGCTGTCTACACTGGCTCTTTTCCGGAACAGTGTTCCGGAACAAGGACTTATGCCCGAGCGGGAGCAGAATAGTTTTTCCGGAATAGCGGCTGATTTTGTACAGTAGAGCATCGTTGCTTTTCCAGAAATTCAAGGGCCAGTGTAGACAGCTCACAGCTTATTCCCGAAAAGCGGCTGATTTTCCGGAATAAGTGGCCCAGTGTAGACACAGCCGCTCAGTATACTTAAAGTGCCAATGCACATCTAGTCACTTACACACACACACACACACACACACACACACACAGTGTGTGAGTGTGAGTGACTGACTCTCACACTTTGGCTTTCACATTCACCTCCTGATCCAACACATACTTTGCGGTTGGTGGTGTGCTTCTCTTACTTGCTTCAAAGTGTGTGGTTTTAGATTTTTCACTGTGTGCATTTCAGAATGTTTACCTCTCTCTTATGCTTAAATTTAATTCTTTGAATTAAATAGTGAACTCTAAAATGGCTAATCTGTCATGCTGCAGTAATTATCCCTATTATAATTTTTTATAAAGATACCTAGGGTTTTGGTTTCTACTGGTGGTGTAAACCATTATGTTACTTCAATATTGGTGTACATAACAAAAAAGTTATTTCCTCTAATTTTTGCCATCCATCCAGTGGTCGGAGTTGGGATGTAAATATCCATTAAAAAAGTTAACTGATGAATAGCGGAGGGCTGGTGCAGAGCAGCTGGGGTCCAAGCAAGGCGCTCCCCATGGTCAGAGTCCTGCCAGCCAGCTTGACACCAGCAGGGGGTTCCTCCAACCAGGCCCTTAGTGGACACAGGGCTGGTCGCTCCAGTTAACCAGTTCCTGGGAAAATATGCCAGTAAAACTAACACTTACCACGTAACCAGATTGGCCATTAAAAGTCTGGAAGCACAGTGGGGCTAAGGGGATTTCCACATGCTGCTCCTGCCTGAAGGTGTAATCCCCACAGCTCCACTGGCCCAGAGCAGAGAACCACAGCTAATGAGAGACATTGGGGGGTAGCATGCAGAACTGTCTGCCTCTGTTTCCTCCACACCACAAGAGCTGCTGTTGGACATGCCGGCCACATTTTGGAGTGGGGTAGAGCCAGGGCGGGGATAAGCTTGCCTTAGACCCACTACACCACCGCCTAGGAACCATCTGAAGTAAGTGGTGCCCAGCTGGAGCCTGCATCTCTATCCCAGCCCTCAACCCCCTCCTGCAACCACACTCCCTCCCAGGGCCTGTACCCAGAATCCCCTCCTGTACCCCAACCCTATGCCTCAGGCTCAGCCTGGAGTCCCTCCCCACACTCCAACCCAGGCCTGGGCAAAATCCAGCCTGTCAAGCCACCGGGTCAGGCTGGCGGATGCTGCAGGGAGCCCCAGGCAGGCTCCCTGTTTGCCTCGCCCCACCTGTACATCGCTCAGAAATGCAGCCGTGGAGCTGTTTTTCTTTAAAAACTGGAAGTAGGGAGGAGGGGGAGGACTTTAGGAGCTGCTCCCGTCCCCAGCACAATCCCATTGACCAGTTTGTAGCCAACTGGAGCTGCCTGTTTCAATAACAGGCAGTCACCAGAGCACATGGCTGCAGCCTGTGTGGGGGCGGGGTAGGCAGAGAGGTTGATTCAGAAATGGCACTGGTTGGTAAGTCTCTGGGCAGAGCCTACCTTTGTTACTCTAGTGACTCCCTTCCCATACTCTCTGCCCCCCACTCCTGGACCCTACTCCACATACCCAAATCTTCTGCCCCTCTCCTGTACCTATATCCCTTCCCAGATCCGGCACTCCAATCCCCTGCCCCAAATCACAGTCCCCTCCTGCCCTAGCTCACAGGCTAAATCTCTGCATCCCCTCCTGTACCTCAATTCCCTGCCCTAGGTCAGAATCCAACCCCTGGCACCACTGTCCAGTGCTCCAGGTCACAACTGCCTCCTTACCCCAAGCTCCCTTCTGCACCCAACTTCCATCCCAGACCCCACACCTCCACTATTAATATCCTGAAAGAGTGAGGCCCTTAACCACTTTTCAAATTCTGAGTGGCCTCCCATCAAAAATTATTGCCCACCTCTGCTCCAACTACTTGGCCCAAGACCAGAGCCCACACTGCTCTGCACCCAAACCTCCTGCTCCAGCATAGTGAAAGTGAATGAGGATGGGGGAAGGAAGGTGGACTGAGTGAGCAAGACAGATTCTTAGAGAAGGGGTAGGGAAGGAGGTAGGGCAGGTGTATTTGGGTTTGAGGTAGGATCCTGGATTGCATTTAAAGTCAGAAAGTTATCTTGTGCTTTAAAAAGTTGGAGCCCACTGTTCTAGAAGCACTAGTTGCAAACACTAGATTTTACTACTACTACTACTACAACATCAGCATTGCTCTAGATACATCTACTCATGTTTATTCAATAGAAAAGAACAAAACTGGAATAGCAAGTTAAGATTCAGAGCATCATAAAACAATAAAAGAGCATTTAACAGAACTCTACAAACAATGCATCTTTTTGTATATCTGGCTTTTAAAAGTGACTCCCCTTCCTCCTGCCCACATACAATATGGAATTTTAAATGTGCCTCAAAATTATCTGATTAAAAATGTTAAAACCTCACAGAAATACTCAAAGTTTTAAACTTACCGCATAAGGCAAACCAATATAACTGTGAGAATGATGAGAACTGCTGGTATATAATTGGTGCGGATAACTGTTCGATTTTTCAACTACCACAGGGCTAGCTTCTACAGATTCTGGTCTGAAAAGAAAGATATACATTATGTACAATATTTCATATTTATGTGCTTTTACTCATATTTTTCCATTTTATGAATGCTAAATATTTAGATTTCAGTCCTGTTAAAAAGTTAACTATAACCATTTTCATAAGGCATGGTCCCAAAGAAAGCATAAAATACATGGCACCAAGAATGAAGCTCAGCTCAAATGGATCTTTTGAGATATGTTCTTGTTATAGGCATTAGCCCCAAATAAATTCTGACCCAGTTCACATAAAGCAGCAGCATATTAGCATTATTAAGATTGACAGAAACAACAAAAGACAGTACATATAATGCTATAGAAGTCTATCAGTATATTTGTATCACTACCCACAATGGGACAACAGTGACATCTAGCGGTAACATCAGTGCAGTGTCAGTAAACTTCTACAGAGACAGTTCTGTTGTGTCAATCAGGCTGTAAAACAAATTTTTGGTTGGCAAGCAAAGAAATGCACAGAGTTAATAAAAAATTAAGGCTCTCATATTCAAAACAAAATTGGAAGAAATGCCAAGAGGTGAAACTACTGGAAAAAAATACTGCAAAAAAGGTAGAAAGAGGGAAAAGTGTGAAAATAGAAACGTGACAAGGAAAAGAAACAAGATATTTTATTGCTTTTAAACATTTTCTTTAATTGGAACTCACAAATGAAACCTCCATGTGACAGAAAATCACTGCTAGGACCAGCCATGGCAAGATGCCAAAGCATAACCAACAAATAGCAATGTTAGTCTCCTACTATTCTCTAAGACGTTCAGAAAACCTTTTCTTATTCCCAACAATTAAAATAAAAAATGAACTCTAATATATTGATCATCCAAAAGGAGTTTAATAATAAAAATGTTTTAACAATTTAACAAAAATATGGATTTAGAGCACTTAGTTTTTTTGAGAGAGGGGTTAAACAAAACTTTCATATTGTGCATATTTTCTCTATTTTAATTTATCATTGCAAATTATTAACAGAAAATAATGTATACACATACACATTTTTTTGCCGTGTCATTAGAAGTTCTACAAAGTTAGCTTTGTTAGAGGGACACTGACTATTTAAATCATACTTCTGTATTATTTTAACTTTTTTTTAAAACAAAATAAAGTCATCTCTCATCTTTATGTTTTTGCTAAAAAATATACTCTAGTAATAATTTTAGGGACATTCTATAGCCTGTGTAATACAGGCCAGGCTAGATGATCAATCACAGTAGTCCCTTCTTATCTTCGTGTATATAACTGTATTAATTTATCTACTTTGTGCATTTGAGAGTACACTGCTCTCTATGTATAGATATTCAGTAAATCAGTTTTCCTTTATGCAAGTAGGTTTTCTGTAGACAGGTAACAGAATGACAAAAACAATAGAATTTGATTATACAGCCACTAGGGATGTTAGATAGCGATTAACTGAATAGATGTGTAACTGCACAATGTTATTGGCAGCTAGTGCACTCCCAGCCCCACTCCTGGGGAGTCCCCTACCACCTTATGCTACTGCCTCTGTATCAAAAATCAGCTCCTTGCGTAGACCAGCTGCCTTCCACCCTGCTCAGAGGCAACAGTGCTGGGGAGGCAGAGCGGGGAGGGAGGGAGGGAGGAATGTGGAGACAGGCGGTACCATGGAGCCAGTGCTGGGGGGAACTGGCTTTTAAGCCTGCACCCCCAGCATCAGCTTCCACCCCCACTTGCTGCCTTTGATACAGAAGCGGGGCAGGGGGGAGGGAGAAATGCATGTAGTTGATAAGATTAACTGATAAGCCTGAGCTTATCAGTTAATCGTATAGTTGGCTACATGTCGACGTTCTTATTTAAAAAACAAAGAAAATAAAGAAATCCAAAGGTTATTGTTACCCGTTTTAATATTAGTAACCCAGGTTCTGGCTGTAACTATTCCTATGGATTTAAGTTGGATAACACAGATTTAACATTCATTATGCATACTAGGGGGCTACGCCCCATGCACGCTATGCTTGCCAAGCCTCCTCTGTCCACCACAGCCAGATTGTGATCTCTCCTGCGCCCTGTGCTGCAGCAGGAACGGGGCCACTACCAGCCTTTTCTGTGGTCAGATGGGGGCTGGACAACAAGGCCTGCCCAAGGATCGGGGCTGGGGACAGGTCGGTCTGGCCAGATAACTTTTTTGGATTGAAGGCCACTGACCCACAGAAAAATCAGTTGGGGACCATACAAGTGAAAAGGGAAAAAATGTCCCTCCAAAAAAAAAACCCAAACCTCAGAGATGTGGCCCCCAATTGAAACACCTCACTTCCCTGGTGCTCCAGTCCTATGGGGAAGGGAGAAGGACTGAGTTTCAAGGCCTCAGGCCAGAACACACACACACACACACACACACAGTGTGTGAGTGTGAGTGACTGACTCTCACACTTTGGCTTTCACATTCACCTCCTGATCCAACACATACTTTGCGGTTGGTGGTGTGCTTCTCTTACTTGCTTCAAAGTGTGTGGTTTTAGATTTTTCACTGTGTGCATTTCAGAATGTTTACCTCTCTCTTATGCTTAAATTTAATTCTTTGAATTAAATAGTGAACTCTAAAATGGCTAATCTGTCATGCTGCAGTAATTATCCCTATTATAATTTTTTATAAAGATACCTAGGGTTTTGGTTTCTACTGGTGGTGTAAACCATTATGTTACTTCAATATTGGTGTACATAACAAAAAAGTTATTTCCTCTAATTTTTGCCATCCATCCAGTGGTCGGAGTTGGGATGTAAATATCCATTAAAAAAGTTAACTGATGAATAGCGGAGGGCTGGTGCAGAGCAGCTGGGGTCCAAGCAAGGCGCTCCCCATGGTCAGAGTCCTGCCAGCCAGCTTGACACCAGCAGGGGGTTCCTCCAACCAGGCCCTTAGTGGACACAGGGCTGGTCGCTCCAGTTAACCAGTTCCTGGGAAAATATGCCAGTAAAACTAACACTTACCACGTAACCAGATTGGCCATTAAAAGTCTGGAAGCACAGTGGGGCTAAGGGGATTTCCACATGCTGCTCCTGCCTGAAGGTGTAATCCCCACAGCTCCACTGGCCCAGAGCAGAGAACCACAGCTAATGAGAGACATTGGGGGGTAGCATGCAGAACTGTCTGCCTCTGTTTCCTCCACACCACAAGAGCTGCTGTTGGACATGCCGGCCACATTTTGGAGTGGGGTAGAGCCAGGGCGGGGATAAGCTTGCCTTAGACCCACTACACCACCGCCTAGGAACCATCTGAAGTAAGTGGTGCCCAGCTGGAGCCTGCATCTCTATCCCAGCCCTCAACCCCCTCCTGCAACCACACTCCCTCCCAGGGCCTGTACCCAGAATCCCCTCCTGTACCCCAACCCTATGCCTCAGGCTCAGCCTGGAGTCCCTCCCCACACTCCAACCCAGGCCTGGGCAAAATCCAGCCTGTCAAGCCACCGGGTCAGGCTGGCGGATGCTGCAGGGAGCCCCAGGCAGGCTCCCTGTTTGCCTCGCCCCACCTGTACATCGCTCAGAAATGCAGCCGTGGAGCTGTTTTTCTTTAAAAACTGGAAGTAGGGAGGAGGGGGAGGACTTTAGGAGCTGCTCCCGTCCCCAGCACAATCCCATTGACCAGTTTGTAGCCAACTGGAGCTGCCTGTTTCAATAACAGGCAGTCACCAGAGCACATGGCTGCAGCCTGTGTGGGGGCGGGGTAGGCAGAGAGGTTGATTCAGAAATGGCACTGGTTGGTAAGTCTCTGGGCAGAGCCTACCTTTGTTACTCTAGTGACTCCCTTCCCATACTCTCTGCCCCCCACTCCTGGACCCTACTCCACATACCCAAATCTTCTGCCCCTCTCCTGTACCTATATCCCTTCCCAGATCCGGCACTCCAATCCCCTGCCCCAAATCACAGTCCCCTCCTGCCCTAGCTCACAGGCTAAATCTCTGCATCCCCTCCTGTACCTCAATTCCCTGCCCTAGGTCAGAATCCAACCCCTGGCACCACTGTCCAGTGCTCCAGGTCACAACTGCCTCCTTACCCCAAGCTCCCTTCTGCACCCAACTTCCATCCCAGACCCCACACCTCCACTATTAATATCCTGAAAGAGTGAGGCCCTTAACCACTTTTCAAATTCTGAGTGGCCTCCCATCAAAAATTATTGCCCACCTCTGCTCCAACTACTTGGCCCAAGACCAGAGCCCACACTGCTCTGCACCCAAACCTCCTGCTCCAGCATAGTGAAAGTGAATGAGGATGGGGGAAGGAAGGTGGACTGAGTGAGCAAGACAGATTCTTAGAGAAGGGGTAGGGAAGGAGGTAGGGCAGGTGTATTTGGGTTTGAGGTAGGATCCTGGATTGCATTTAAAGTCAGAAAGTTATCTTGTGCTTTAAAAAGTTGGAGCCCACTGTTCTAGAAGCACTAGTTGCAAACACTAGATTTTACTACTACTACTACTACAACATCAGCATTGCTCTAGATACATCTACTCATGTTTATTCAATAGAAAAGAACAAAACTGGAATAGCAAGTTAAGATTCAGAGCATCATAAAACAATAAAAGAGCATTTAACAGAACTCTACAAACAATGCATCTTTTTGTATATCTGGCTTTTAAAAGTGACTCCCCTTCCTCCTGCCCACATACAATATGGAATTTTAAATGTGCCTCAAAATTATCTGATTAAAAATGTTAAAACCTCACAGAAATACTCAAAGTTTTAAACTTACCGCATAAGGCAAACCAATATAACTGTGAGAATGATGAGAACTGCTGGTATATAATTGGTGCGGATAACTGTTCGATTTTTCAACTACCACAGGGCTAGCTTCTACAGATTCTGGTCTGAAAAGAAAGATATACATTATGTACAATATTTCATATTTATGTGCTTTTACTCATATTTTTCCATTTTATGAATGCTAAATATTTAGATTTCAGTCCTGTTAAAAAGTTAACTATAACCATTTTCATAAGGCATGGTCCCAAAGAAAGCATAAAATACATGGCACCAAGAATGAAGCTCAGCTCAAATGGATCTTTTGAGATATGTTCTTGTTATAGGCATTAGCCCCAAATAAATTCTGACCCAGTTCACATAAAGCAGCAGCATATTAGCATTATTAAGATTGACAGAAACAACAAAAGACAGTACATATAATGCTATAGAAGTCTATCAGTATATTTGTATCACTACCCACAATGGGACAACAGTGACATCTAGCGGTAACATCAGTGCAGTGTCAGTAAACTTCTACAGAGACAGTTCTGTTGTGTCAATCAGGCTGTAAAACAAATTTTTGGTTGGCAAGCAAAGAAATGCACAGAGTTAATAAAAAATTAAGGCTCTCATATTCAAAACAAAATTGGAAGAAATGCCAAGAGGTGAAACTACTGGAAAAAAATACTGCAAAAAAGGTAGAAAGAGGGAAAAGTGTGAAAATAGAAACGTGACAAGGAAAAGAAACAAGATATTTTATTGCTTTTAAACATTTTCTTTAATTGGAACTCACAAATGAAACCTCCATGTGACAGAAAATCACTGCTAGGACCAGCCATGGCAAGATGCCAAAGCATAACCAACAAATAGCAATGTTAGTCTCCTACTATTCTCTAAGACGTTCAGAAAACCTTTTCTTATTCCCAACAATTAAAATAAAAAATGAACTCTAATATATTGATCATCCAAAAGGAGTTTAATAATAAAAATGTTTTAACAATTTAACAAAAATATGGATTTAGAGCACTTAGTTTTTTTGAGAGAGGGGTTAAACAAAACTTTCATATTGTGCATATTTTCTCTATTTTAATTTATCATTGCAAATTATTAACAGAAAATAATGTATACACATACACATTTTTTTGCCGTGTCATTAGAAGTTCTACAAAGTTAGCTTTGTTAGAGGGACACTGACTATTTAAATCATACTTCTGTATTATTTTAACTTTTTTTTAAAACAAAATAAAGTCATCTCTCATCTTTATGTTTTTGCTAAAAAATATACTCTAGTAATAATTTTAGGGACATTCTATAGCCTGTGTAATACAGGCCAGGCTAGATGATCAATCACAGTAGTCCCTTCTTATCTTCGTGTATATAACTGTATTAATTTATCTACTTTGTGCATTTGAGAGTACACTGCTCTCTATGTATAGATATTCAGTAAATCAGTTTTCCTTTATGCAAGTAGGTTTTCTGTAGACAGGTAACAGAATGACAAAAACAATAGAATTTGATTATACAGCCACTAGGGATGTTAGATAGCGATTAACTGAATAGATGTGTAACTGCACAATGTTATTGGCAGCTAGTGCACTCCCAGCCCCACTCCTGGGGAGTCCCCTACCACCTTATGCTACTGCCTCTGTATCAAAAATCAGCTCCTTGCGTAGACCAGCTGCCTTCCACCCTGCTCAGAGGCAACAGTGCTGGGGAGGCAGAGCGGGGAGGGAGGGAGGGAGGAATGTGGAGACAGGCGGTACCATGGAGCCAGTGCTGGGGGGAACTGGCTTTTAAGCCTGCACCCCCAGCATCAGCTTCCACCCCCACTTGCTGCCTTTGATACAGAAGCGGGGCAGGGGGGAGGGAGAAATGCATGTAGTTGATAAGATTAACTGATAAGCCTGAGCTTATCAGTTAATCGTATAGTTGGCTACATGTCGACGTTCTTATTTAAAAAACAAAGAAAATAAAGAAATCCAAAGGTTATTGTTACCCGTTTTAATATTAGTAACCCAGGTTCTGGCTGTAACTATTCCTATGGATTTAAGTTGGATAACACAGATTTAACATTCATTATGCATACTAGGGGGCTACGCCCCATGCACGCTATGCTTGCCAAGCCTCCTCTGTCCACCACAGCCAGATTGTGATCTCTCCTGCGCCCTGTGCTGCAGCAGGAACGGGGCCACTACCAGCCTTTTCTGTGGTCAGATGGGGGCTGGACAACAAGGCCTGCCCAAGGATCGGGGCTGGGGACAGGTCGGTCTGGCCAGATAACTTTTTTGGATTGAAGGCCACTGACCCACAGAAAAATCAGTTGGGGACCATACAAGTGAAAAGGGAAAAAATGTCCCTCCAAAAAAAAAACCCAAACCTCAGAGATGTGGCCCCCAATTGAAACACCTCACTTCCCTGGTGCTCCAGTCCTATGGGGAAGGGAGAAGGACTGAGTTTCAAGGCCTCAGGCCAGATTAACTCTTCCGGGGTTTCAGGGTTAGTGGATTTTGTGGGCCCCCTAGGCTCCGGAGTGGGGCCAAAAATGAGGAGTGTATGGGACAGGGCTGCCAGTAAGTGGGATAAGAATAGAAGTGCAGGAGGGACTGAGGGTGTGAAGTCTGAGTATGATGTAGGGTGCAGGAGCAGGCTGAGGTCAGGGTGTCTGGCCGGGGGGGGGAGCAGGAGCAGGCTAGGGATAGGGAGCAGGGAGGTGAGGGAGTTGGGGGTGCGGGGTCTCAGCAGGGCAGTGAGGGAGGGAGCTGGGGGTCCAGGGCAGAAGAAGGGTGGGGGTAAGTGTGTGGCCAAGAGGGAGAGGACAGGGGCAGGAAGTCTGTCCAGGGGAATGGGGACAGGAGCAGGCTGGGGGCAGGGTGCCTGGCGGGGAGGGTGAGGGGAGTTGTGCGCTGGGAGGGGGGAGTGAGAGGGAGCTGGGGGGGCGAGGCAGGGTCTGGGCATGAAGGGGTAGGGGGCACTTAATTGTCTTCAGGCCCCTGGCAGGTATCAGGCTCAGCCTCCCAGTGCTCCCATTAGCCAGATTCTAGCCAACAGGAGTGCAGGGAAAGGCTCCAGACAGCGGGCTGGGAAGTGCTTCTTCCCCGCTCAGGGCTCTCTCCCTCCCCTGCCCCGCGGCAGGAAGCTGGCGCTAGTGCTCCAACCGTGGGAGAGGAATAAGACATCTTCCCTATGAGAGAAGCTCAGAGTTTTCTCCTTCCCACTCTCCTCACTTCCTCCGCAGTGGGATGAACCCAGTCACTGGCTCCTGCCCCAACTCCACCACCTCGGGCTGTAGCTCCAGCTCAGGGCTCTGCAACAGCTACGCCTAGAAGCAGTTGCCCAGGCTGCGAGCTACCTCCAGCAGGCCCGCACCATCTCACGCTCAGTGCTGTAGTGCGACAGGGTGGAGAGGGTCTTGAGCACCTGGCTCATGAAGCTGCTGAGCAAGTGGGCTGATCCTAAACTTCCCTGCCTGGCCCCAGAACAGCTGCTTGCTGAAGGAGTGCTTCTCCTTGGTGCTGCTGGGGCTGCTTATCCTGGATGGGGTGCTCTGGTCTCTCCCCATGACAGGGGGAAGGGAGAAAGGAAGCTGCACAGCTGAGGGGTGGCAGGATGAAAAAAAACTTTTCCTGTGGGTTGCAGAGTGAGATGCTGACATCACTCTGTCATCCCACAAGAAAAGTTTTTATAAATATATAGAGAGATAAATGACTGGAGGATAAGGGATTAAGTTTCGCTTGGGACAGAAAAAGAGTGTGATACATAGTAGGGAGTGGATGCTATATGCAAAGTCAAGAATCACATCAAAGAAGTAAGGAGTTGGTTAATTTCTTGAAGGGTTGGTTAATTTTTTTAAAAAAAATACTGGATTTCAAAAGGCAGTATTATTGTGGGTATCTTTCAAAAACCTTGAGGAAAGAGGTCAATAGAATGTATAATTTGGCATTCCTCATTTATGTTCTTGATATCAAAGGCATTCTTACTCCAAAAAGATTTGTGTTTAAGGCACCATATTTTGAAATCTTCTGAATAGGCCCCATTCTGGAGCTTCACAGCACCATACAGCTTTAATGTCTTGGTGGTTCTGTAACTTGAAAATAAACCTACCCCTGTATTTATAAACAATGAAATCACCTTATTTTTACTGGTTACTTCCTTAATACTTAGGGACATTCAAACTTCACAACTAAAACTTGTTGTAATATCTATACACATATACGCAGCATGAAACAATGACATTTTTTTCAAGGAGAGTTAGTTTCAGCCTCATCTGTCTCTCATAAGCAATCTCCCAATGGAGATATGATCCTAGCTCAACTGGAAAGGAGAGCTAGAGAAAGCAAATGGTCTCTTGGGGAAGGCCTTGGAGCAAGGGAAAAAGATACAAGGGAAAAGGCTTGCAGAAGACAGGGTTTGTGTATCAAACCCTATGTTGAACTAATTTATTGTGTAAGCTAAGTAAACCATACCCTGAGGGAAGGACTTGAAAGGGGCTTCCTGGACTGTGGAAAACAGACCTGTAAACTACACAGACAACAAAAACAAAAAACAAAGAACTCCAACAAATTAACACTCAGTATTATACCTTAAATCACAGTTTAATTATTTGAGTGCAATTCTGATAAATAATTCTTCGCAATCATGTACACAAGTCCCACTAGATGAGTTCATGTACATATAATTGGTCTATCAGGTGACAGAATACTAAGTGGTTAGAAAGAGTTAAACATTCTGAAGCGTTCAGTCATCAATCATCCAATCAGTTAAAGGATCTTCTATAAACAGAAAACAGTACTAGATTTTCTCTGCTACACTAAAATAAATAAATAAATAAATAAATAAATAAATAAATTAATTCGTTCACATTTAAGAGTCTCAGTTCTGGTTTGGGTCAGATAACTTGCATACCTAGAACTAAGTTACCTGAGATGGGAGCTCAACACTTTTTTAAAAAAAAATTGTGGATGTCAAAACTCTGTAATACTAAGATTTGAAAGGAGCCTAAAGTAATTAGGATCTCAACTCTAAGTCTCCTTTCAAAGTCCCAGCCTAAAGCTTTTAAGGCCATTTGTAGCCTTATAAACTCAAAAACAGCAGTATTTCTTTATTAAAATTATTTGAAAATCAATTG